AGGGAATGCCTGGGTGGGATGCTCCTGGCAGACGGGAGAGCCGGGGAGGGGGAGGGGACTGGTACCTCTCACAGGGCACCTCCCTTTAGTGGGAGTCTGCCTTTACTCTGAGGGTGTCCAAGGCCAGGTTGGACGGAGTTTGGAGCAACCTGGGCTAGTGGAAGGTGTCCCTGCCAATGGCAGGAGTGGGACTGGATGAGCTTTAAGGTCTCTTTCAACCCAAACCTGTCTGGGATTCTGGGATTCTCTTCCAGGCAGAGAACAAAGTACTGCCTTGGGCATCCCTTTTGCCGGGCTGGTTCCTGGTGCCTGTGCCCCTGAGAGATGGGATCCGAGGGATGATGCTGATGGGGTGATCTGAGGGCTGCTGAGCCCAAAGGGACCTGGCAGTGGTGTTTGAAGCAGGATTTGCTCCTGTGTCTTGGAATATGCTTGGGGAAGCTTCACCTGGTCCTGCAGTGTGCTGTGACTTTGGTCCTTGGTACCTTCCTGAGGATATTGGTGCTCTTTGGATGCAGGCGGAGGTGAGCCTGGCCCGGGACCGGTGCTGGGGTGAGCAGTGCTTGGTGCATGTCTGGGAATGGTGACTGGGACCACTGGTGGAGAGGGAAACAGGCTGGAAACCCAAGCAGGATCCCCCAGCACAGGAGAGGGGGCCAGCCCTGAGGTTCAACCGCTGGAGCCGATGTGGGGTTTGATGTTGATAACAATATTCCGTATTTCTCCCCTGGCCTGCCTTTGGAAGCTCCATGTAGGAGTGAGGAGCTGTGCCTGCTGCTGCTCCAGCTTCCCCCCACGATGTGTGTGACCTCGTGGCCCTTTGCTGCCCATCTGTCCCTGCTCTGGAGCCCTCCTGCCCCACTCCCTGTGCCTGTGGTGCCCCGGGCTGGCCCTGTGGGCGTTGGGGCTCTGCGGGGAGCGGGAGCAGGGATGGAGCGAGGGAGAGGCTCCCAGTCAATGTGCAAGTGCCATTGTTTTGACACAGAGGCATCTGGCACTGTCAGAAAGAGCAAAAAGAGCCCCCACAGCAGATGCTGCCAAGGCAGAAAGCTGGCAGCAGCCAGGCAGGCCTGCACAGCGCCTGCTCTCGTGGCATCCCAGCCTGGAGCTGGGCATCCCAGCCTGGATCGGAGCATCCCGAGGGTGAGGTGGGACGGTGGCCATGTGGGACACTCGGACCATGCAAACACTGGGCACTGCCCGGGGTGGAGCTGGGAGTGGTCACTGGAGGCTGGTGCTCCCTCAGCAGTGCTGGCACAGAGCAGAGCTGGGTGTCCCACCCACGGCAGCTGCTGTGTGGGCACAGGGGGTCTGGGAGCACACAGCTGCTCTGCTGCTCCTCTCCTGCTCCTACAGGGTCTCCTGAGCCCCACACTCACACCACAGGCTGGTACTCCCTGTTTGATACACCTGTTCTGTGCAACCTCTTGGCCTGCACCCTATGCCAGGGCTGTTTACAAGCTGCGACGGAGAGGGAGGAGGGTGTGCCGTGCTCTGGTCTCCACATCCCTGGGCAGAACAAGATTTGTTGTTCCTGCAGCTCAGTTTTGTCTGCTCACCTTTCCCAAAAAGTGCAGCAGCTCCTGCAACAGGTCAGTGCCCTGGTGGTGGAGGGGGCACACCCACGTGGCACTGCCACACCTGGGTAAGTGGCACTGAACTGGTGGTCACAGAAGTGCTTTTGAGGCTGTTTCTAAGGTCGAGTTGTTCAATACTGACCCTCTGCAGGTTCCCGTGGGGGTGGTTTGAGCCCTCCCTCTGTCGCTGCCTCCCTGTGCCTGCCCTGTGGAGCAGCAGAGGCAGGGATGGGACATTGAGGTGGGCACTGGGATGAGCACTGAGGTGGGCACTTGGGGCCAGGCTGCAGCACAGATGGAGCTGAGAGGCCCAGACAGCCCCTTCCTGCACACAAACAGGCTGAACCTGCTCCTGTCCAGGCAGGGATGGTGGTTCTTACCCTGGGGTGCCATGACTGCACCTGCCCTTCCCAGCCAGGGCTCCCCTTATTGCAGCACAACGTGTTTGGGTGGGGAGGGTTTTGCTTTGACCATTTTCAGGCTAAATGGGGATTTCAGAGGCCTGTGAGTGCAGAGGACTTGACCTGGTGGAGCTGTGGTCCCTTCAGCTCCTCCAGCTCGAGAGGAGGAGCACACAACTACTGCTGGCTCCCGCTGCTGGGGCTGTGCACCCCAAAACTCGCCCAGCTGGGGGGTCCAGCACATCCTGTCGAGGTGGGGACACACTTCCCCCTCCTCCCTTCTGTGCACCGGCCGAGGAAACGCTGCCTTGTGTAAATTTACATCTGACTGGCCAAATGGATGTTGTGTCGTTGCTGGCGGAGCAGCAGCGGCTCCGCTGCTCCCGCATCGCGGCAGCAATCGAGGGGCTTGAGTTATAGCACAACTTATTCCGTTTTACAGCTCCTACAGCGTTAACAGATGTACAGGCGTCTGATCCAATCATGCAGCAAGAGATTTTGGGACCAGTTCTTCCAGTTTTGACAGTGTGGAAGCCGGGAGCAGCCATACATTCTACAAACAAGAATAAACGACCCTTAGCAACATATGTCTGTGCTGGCAGCTCCGGCACAGCCCGGGAGCAGGCGCCCTGCGAGGCAGGAATGTGGCTGGGCACTGCACGGACAAAGCATCTGCCTCCCCCGTTATATTAATGAGGTGCAGGCACTAAAATCCCTATGTTGTAGGGCTGGATTTGCTGGGTAGGGACAAAGAGCTTGGAAAAACAAATGCCAGCCCGGAGCAGAGGAGCTTTATTTGTTTTAGAGCCTGCGATTTCATTGTCGTGGCTCTGCTCCTGCTGCCTCGCCGGGCTCTGGTGCCGTGGGATCGTAGCAGGGGCAGCTTGGCCATGCTGGGACTTGGTGCACGAGGTCCCTGCTCCAGCCCCATGTCCCCACCACTGGTCTCTGCTCCCAGCACAGGGAGGAGGCCACACCAGGGTCTGAGCAGTCACAGAATCCCAGAATCACTGAGGCTGGAAAAGCTCTCCAAGACCATCAAGTCCAACCTGTGACTGATCCTCACCTTGTCACCCAGCCCAGAGCACTGAGTGCCACGTCCAGTTGGTTCTTGGACACTTCCAGAGATGAGGACTCCACTACCTCCCTGGGCAGCCCCTTCCAGTGCCTGACCACCCTTTCCATGAAGAAATTCCTCCAATTCCTCCTGATGTCCATCTTGAACCTCTCCTGGCACAGCTTGAAGCTGTTTCCTCTCATCCTGTCACTTGTTCCCTGGGAGCAGAGCCCAACTACCCCTGGCTCCACCCTCCTGTCAGGGAGTTGCAGAGAGCAAGAAGGTTCCCCCTGAGCCTCCTTTTCTCCAGGCTGAGCCTCCCCAGCTCCCTCAGCCTGAGGCTCCCTGGTGACCTTGGGGACACTCTCAGGACAGAAAGTCCTGCTCCTGGCCCAGTTCTGGGGCCACGCTCAGCCTTGTCTCTGCTCCCTCCTAAATTCAAACCCTGCAGCAGCCTCCCTCTGCCTCAGCCCCCCAGAAACAACTGCTGTGGATAGAGAGGGAGAGAGGGGCAGCTGGGAGCACCCCAATAAATTTAATCTCTCCATCATATTAAAGTGTAGTAGCTAAATTTATTTCTCCTTGCAATCCAAACAATGCCAGCTTTGGTCCCAAACCAGTACTGAGATTTCTTCCCCCCAGCTGGAAGAAAAAAAAAGGAACTACTATAAATCCCTCCCAGAGCTGATTTATGGAGCATTCATGAAGAATTTATATTGCAAAGGATTTTATTCAATTAAACTTGAAAAGCCTCTCGATTCCTGAGGTTCAGTAGCGCTCCTGGAGCCAGAGCTCCCATAAACCTGGTGGCCTGTCTGGAGCAGGCACTGGGGGAATGGTTGAGGTGACACTGAAGCTGACAGGACCATCCAAATCCAGAGCATTTGTCACTGGGATGTGTTCCAGGCTGAGGCTTGGAAAATTACTCCATGAAAAATGTGCATTAACAATAGCCATGAAATATCTGCTTAAAAGCCAGGTGAGTGATGAGACGGGGGATCTGTTAGTGCTGGGTGTTCCTCGCTGCCCAAAAAGGGACACAGAGCCAGGGGCTCTTTTAGGAACAAGTTTAAGGTTGTCTCTGTTCAAATAATTGAACAGGGGAAGGTGCAGGATGGATTTAAAAGCTGCCTCCACTTTAGTGGACAAGCCCTTGATGGGCATGACCCCCTTGCAGCCCACAGCGTTCCCTGGGGGAAGACTGAGGCCACCAGGTCCCACATGGATTCTTCCCAGTTATATTTCCAAGCTGGAAGGGGCTTGGACTTGGCTGCAAAGCTGGAATTGTGTGTGTTGTGTGCAGGGCATGGGGGTGGGTGTGAGCTCACGCTGCTGCCGGAATGTGTGTGTTTACACGTGGAATCGAGTGTTCAGTCCCTTGGGAAGCTGGAACAGAGGATGTGTTCTGTGCTGAGCAGTGTTCTGCTCTCGTGGTGTTAGCAGCCAGGTTCTCCAAGCTCTAGAATGTTCTCCAGGCTGTGCTCCAGCCCGTTCTGCTCAGGGCTCCATGGGGCAACACTTCCGAGGTTGACATGGACCCTGCGGGGTGCGAGACCAACCCTCAGGGTGTTGGTCCCTCTCCCTCAGGCCCCCATCTGAGGCACTGCCAGGGCGCTGCTCCTCGTCCCAATCCCTTTTCCTGCAACCTCAGTGCCCTGGGTGGTGCCAACCCCAGGGCTCTGCTCTCCTGGCTGGTCCCTGTTCCGAGGGGCAGCTCCACCTGGAGTCAATCCCAGCACAGCCATGGGATTCGGCCTTTCCTGCTCTAACCCCTCCACCCTGTGAGCCCCGCTCCTGGCAGAGGATGCACTGGATTGTCAGCACAAGAGACATTCCTCAGGTGCACAAGAGGCAGTCAGAGCCAAGGAATTCCTGGTGCATTCCTGTAAATCTGCACAGCTCAGCTCCAGCCGGGGCTGATGGATCGGAAGGGACTTGGAAGAGAAAAGCACACAGGGCTCAGTGTTCAGTGTGACAGTTTAGGGCCCTTTGGTACAAGGAAGTTCACATTTATTAATTCAAAGCTGCGGACACAATTCCCAAATCCCTCCAGCTGCTGCTCCACACCAGCACCGTGACTGACACAGAGAACCTGATTGTTTTCTCCACTCCTCAGAGTCCTTCCCACAGCACCTGCCACTGCCCAGGGAAACAAAGGCATCTCCAAAGTGTTTTTGGAATTTTCCTGCCTCAACTCCAGCCTGGGAGCAGCAGTGACTCTGGTGCCATCACCAAAAGGGATGCGTGGACCAGGCCCAGTGACCAGAACAGCTGTTTATGGGTCCCTTCCAACTCAGATTATTCTGTGATTCTGTTCCTCTCAGGATTTATCAACAAGGTCATGGTTATTTCAGCTGGAAGTCCTTGGCAGCTCCCACCTCCAGTCCAGGATTGTTCTCTTTCCCATCCTTGATGGGCAAAAGCAGTCTGCTGGATTCACCTTCCCATGATTAAGGAAATAAAACATTCCAGCTCCCAGCTATGGCTCAGGTTTTATATATATTTTCTCTTCCTTCCCTTCCTTCATTGCAGCATAACGTGCCAGGACAAAGAGATAGTCACTGAGCCTGGAAACCAAAGGAAAAGCAGGAAAACCACTTCAAAGATCTTATACCAGAAGCTTCTCAGGAGGTAAAACCCCACAGTTTTTTCCCAAAACTATGGGAACACCACTGGGGATGCTTCAGTAGGACAGAGTAAGGGTTTGGGATAATATATTTTTTTTTACCTGTTTAAATATTTGGCCACATTTGGATCTGCTTCCCCTGCTTGGACTAAAGGAACCACGCTGGAAAAAGCAAAGGAAAATGTTAGTGTTTAGCTTTCCAGGTCTGAATGCACAAAGAGTTGTAATTTGCTGGAGCCCCTTCACTCCCCAACTTCCCCCAGGGTCCCCACTCTATCTGTGAGGGCTGTTGGCTTCTCCAGAGGAATTTGGGGGGGATAAATGGTGCCAATACTGTTTGTGACTGTTCAGGAGGCTGCCAGCTCTTCTCCTCCAAGGATACTCATCCATGGCTATGACTGGACAGAGAGAGGCTATTTACAAGGTTCTGGAGGAACAGGACAAGGAAGAATGGTTTCCCACTGCCAGAGAGCAGAATTAGATGGGATACTGGGAAGGAATTCTTCCCTGTGAGGGTGGTGAGGCCCTGGCACAGGCTGCCCAGAGAAGCTGTGGCTGCCCCATCCCTGGAAGTGTCCAAGGCCAGGTTGGACAGGGGTGCAGAATCCCAGAATGGTTTGGGTTGGAAGGGATCTAAAATCCCATCCAGTTCCATGCCCTGCCATGGGCACAAATATCCCCCACCAGACCAGGCCATTCCACGCCCCGTCCAACCTGGCCTTGAAAACCACTCAGAGCTTCCTTGGATCTCACACCTGCCAGTGCCCCACCTTCCCACGTTTATCAGACCAGACAGGAGCTGAGCACAGACCTGCAGCTCAACACAACCCTGTCTGTGGTGTCTCGGCTCAGATGACTCAGCTGAGGGGAGGGAAGACACAGTCTGGCTCTGTGCCGCCTCCACTCCTGGAATTGGACTAAACAAACAAAAGCTTGGCTCAAGCCTCAGGTGCAGCCCAGCCCTGACTAGTGGCTCTCACTGCACTGGTTTGCTGCTGTTGTAGTGTCCCCATCCCCTTTCCCCAGTGTTGTCCCAGCACAGCACTCACCACCTCTCAGCCCGGCGGCACACGGCTCGGGAGAAATGGAGAGCAGCACTGCTCCTGCCTCCGGACTGCAACAGCAAGGAAACACCCCCTCAGTGTCTGCACCAACAGCACAGCCCCCGCTCCGCTCCCTGGGAGAGCTCAGCACCTCTCACACATGTGAGATTGATCCCTGTGCCATGGTCAGGCAAGGGGAGGGACACCTGAGTGGCAGCAGGATGGGGAAATTTAACTCCCAAATCCTCTCTGCTTTTATTTGGCATTTGTCAATGGAAATAGTGGCCTCCCAACCTGTTTTCCTGTGGTAAGTGGAAAGGGGGCAGGGCTCCCCTAAGGAAGTGAGTGAGCCTCCTGCAGCAGGTGAGAGGCACAGGCAGTACCTACAGGCAGGATGAAGGCTCTGAGGGGAGGGAGCTGCTCCGAGTAACTGTCAATCCACTGCTCCAGCTCCAGCACCGGCTTCTCGCTGAAAGATGTTCGTTCTGCAGAGGGGAAAAGGAGAATCAGCTGAAGAAAAAGTGATTCAGAAACGATTTCAGTCGACATACAGAGATCTATTTTTGCTTTCCTTGGATCAGCAAGTCCTAAGAAAGCATCCCAAAAAATTCCTCCTGCTTCAGCAGGGCCGGGTGGGTGCTGGGCCAGCGCCTCAGGCCACCTGACATCACTTGAGTGCCACAAGCACAGCAGCTGCTGGGACTGTGTGTGATTCACTCAGCACCCAAGGACGTGTGTGATTCACAGAGTCCCAGAATCACTGAGGCTGGAAAAACTCTCCAAGATCATCAAGTCCAACCTGTGACCGATCCTCACCTTGTCACCCAGACCAGAGCACCGAGTGCCACGTCCAGTCGTTCCCTGGACACTTCCAGAGATGGGGACTCCACCACCTCCCTGGGCAGCCCCTTCCAATGCCTGACCACCCTTTCCATGAAGAAATTGCTCCTGATGTCCAATCTGAATGTCTTCTGGCACAGCTTGAGGCTGTTTCCTCTTTTCTTGTCCCTTGTTCCCTGGGAGCAGAGCCCGATACCCACCTGGCCCCACCCTCCTGTCAGGGAGTTGCAGAGAGCCAGAAGGTCCACCCTGAGCCTCCTTTTCTCCAGGATGAGCCACCCCAGCTGCTCCTCCCTGTGCCTCATCCAACCACCCCCTTCCAGGCTGTGCCCAACTCCTGCCATCCCAGGAAAAGGCAGGACTTACTCCGGTGAGCCTCCCTGGCGGAGGAGAGCGGCGTGGCGAGGTTGGAGCCCACATCCTGCAGCATGCACTGGACCTGCACGTGGCACCAGGACAGAAACCACAAGTGCTGTCACTCCCCACCTTTAACATGCCAGGGGAGGCAGATCAAAGACCCCACCCTCGATGTGCCTCATCCCCAGCCTCCTGAGAGGGAGCAGGAAAGTGCTCCCCAAGTGCTGCTTGAGAAGCCAGGCTGGCAGGACACCAAACCTCTGGGAAGGCAGGGACAAGCTGCAGGCAGTGCTGCCATGTCCCCCTCCACACAGGGCATCTCCGCAGCCTGGGATATGGGAAAGGCAGCCTGGAAAAGTTTCCTAAAATCTCTGATTAGCTCCTTCTGTATTGCTGTGCTCAGCAAAGTTAATTAGCCAAACTCACAGGCTGCCACCTATGTCAGTGCTGTGCCCACGTGGGTCTGTGCCCCAATTTCAAACCGAAGGCTCTGTGACAACGAAACTTGTGTCCAAAATGTGTCTCTGACTTAACTCTGAATGAACCTAGAGATGAGTCTGCTGCCCATAACTGATCACCTGATCTACCACTTTCCTTCTCGGTTAAAGAAATTACCTCTTAGAGAGTAATCTAGGGAGTCTTAAGTATTTATTTATTTAAAGACTAAATGTATTGGATTCCTGCGAGTTTATGTTTCAGTACCACAGATGCAGCGACTGCACTGGGTGAGGATTACCATTAATACTCACTTTGTGAAGTTGCCCAACAAACGTGTGGCCCTTTTCACTGCTGAACTCACCAGCCAGCCTTGGTTAGAGATTAAAAAAAAAAAAAAAAAAAAAAAAGTCAGCTGGGTATGGAGAAATCACCCCAAGCACGATTTTTCCACATGAAACCCCCGAGCTCGGCCCCTCCCAGCCAGAGTTACCCGATGGCCGAGCTCAGCTCGTCCGTGGCTCCCAAGGCCTCGAAGATCCTGTCGCCCTTCGGCCGCCGCTCCCCGGTGAACGTGCTGGAGAATCCTTTGGGAAAGGTGGGAGGAGGGCGCTCAGGGGTCTGTGGGGGCCCTGCCCTGGAGCTCCCCCGGCGCCCCCCGGGCTCTACCTGAGTCCCCCGTCCTGGTGTAGATCCGCGGGGAGCGGGAGGGGCGGTCACGGCCGGGGGGATCGCGGTCGGAGCTGCGGGGACACAGACCGTGAGGATGGGGTGAGGGGAACACACCGTGGGGTGGGGGGACACAGAGAGGAGCGGGGACACAGCGAGGGGAGGGACACTGGAGGGGGTGGGCACACACACCATGGCGGGGGCGGCACCGGGGGAACACACAGTGAGGGGAGGACACACACCGTGGGGGGGAGAGACGCCGTGATGCGGGAAACGACTCCGTGAGGAGGTCCCGGCTCTCTATCTCACCTGCCCTCCCGCTCCGCCCCCGCCGCCCCACCGCCCCGGCGGTCCCCGCAGCCCCCGGCCCGGCACTGCCAACGCCGCCCGCCGCCACATCCCTGCCGGCCGCCGTCCCGGCCCGCCCCCCGCCCGCGCCCTCACCCCAGCGCCGCGCCACCGTCCGCCCCCGCCCCCCCATTGGCTGGCACCGAGTCCCGCCCCCGCGGGGCTGGCGGCCATTGGCTGTGGCGCGGCGGGGCGGGGCTGCCATTGGCGGGCGGGGCTGTCAGTCGGCGCGGGCCGTGAAGCGGCGATGGTGGCGATGTGGGAGCGGGGCCTGGCGGTGTCCGCGCCGGGCAAGGTGATCGTGCACGGGGAGCACGCGGTGGTGCACGGCAAGGTGAGGGGTGCTGAGCGGCAAGGTGAGGGGTGCTGAGCTCCCGGCCGTGGTGCCGGGCAGGGTCAGGCGAGCCCGGCTCTGTGAGCGCTGCCCGGCCCCACCGTGACCTCCGCTCTCCCCCCGCAGGTGGCCTTGGCTGTGGCGCTGGACCTGCGGACGTTCCTCCGGCTGCGGCCCGGGGCCGAGGGCCGGGTGCGGGTTTGCCTGCCCGGGGTCGGCGTCCAGAGGAGCTGGGACACCCCCGAGCTGCGGGCCCTGCGGGGCCGGATCGCAGGCAAGGCTGGGGGGGAAGCGCTGCCCGGGCGGGGTGAGGCGCCCTCGGTGCTGTGAGGTGGGACCCTCTGCAAGGAGGCCCTGCTGGGACCCCCTGTGGGATGGTTGTGCAGGGGTCCCCGTGGGGTGACTGCGGTGGGACCCTCTCCGAGGCAAAAGTGCAGGGACCCCCCATGAGGTGACCGTGCAGACCCCCCTGTGGGGTGACAGTGCTGGGACCCCCCACGGGGTTATTTGCAGTGTTCCCCTCGCTGTCTCTGACCCTGCTCGGTTTGTGTGCTTTGCTGACCTGTTCCTGCACCCTCCCTCCATGTGACCCCCTCCGGCGCTCAGGTGTCTGTGTGTGCCCCCTTCAGTGTCATGTCCCCTCCTGTTTCAGGCTCCCAAGGACCTGTTCCTGTGCTGCTGCAGCTCTAGCAGTGTTGGAGCCAGGCAGGGACCACGTCCAGGGATGTCACAGATGGGGGGGCCAAAAAGGAGCCTCTCTGGAGCTGGTCAGAGCTGGGCTCCTAAGGAAGGCAGGGATAAGGGGGCCTGTTTCCTACCTCTCTACCCCACACCAGCCCTCACTGGAATTTCTGCAGCATCTTGTACTGGGTAGAGCCCCAGAATATCCCAGTTCCAGAATCCACATCCTTCAGTGAAGAGTTTGTGACTTGCCTAGTTCTCCATAGTGATCACTGGGAAGTGTAGTCAAGGAGACATTGGCAGATGGAAACATTTGGATTTGAGAATGGCTGGCGGAGAATTTGCTTTGATTTTCATCACAAACCCTGAGGTAGAGCCTAAAATCAGCTCCACCTATTTCTGCCTGCTGTAACAGGAGGTGCTGTTGTAAATGCTGCTTTCAGTTGAACAGTTCCCTGGACTCTAAGTGTTTAAATTCTCCCCTGCTTGCTTCCGTAGCTGACTTTGAGGAGTCTAAGTCCCCCAGCCTAGAACAGCTGGATGCACTGAGGGAGTTTGCTGGAATTGCTGCTGGAGCCTCAGGCCCTGATAGCCTTGCTACCCTTGCCTTCCTGTACATGTGCCTGGCTATTTCAGCTAAGTATGGGTAAGGCTCTTCTCCTGCCCCAAAATAAACCTGTTGGGTGTTGTTCACCATTAGTTGCTGCTGCAAAATCATGGGGAGAAAACAAATCCTGGGGGCAAAATAAGGCATTACTAAGGTGTCTCGCTTTGTTTGGGTTCTGGGCCCGCAGGAGACTGGAGAGCTGAGCTGTTTGGTGGGTTGGTGCCCTAGGCAGGTGGGCTGGGAATCACCTACTTTCATTTAGGCATCAAGAGGCTTAAATAAGAGCAGTTCATCCCACAGCCACAACACAGACATCCCTCCCTCCAGGAGGCAGCTCCTGTATTTGTTGTCTGAGCTAAGTCTGATCCCTCTGTGGGCTGAATGTGCCTAAAAACAGGAGAAGTTGAGGTAAGCCCAACTCAGGGCTGTTCCAGTTTCCAAATTTGCCCGGCACCGTTGATGCCCTTGGTGTGACTGGGCAGGTGGTCAGTCTGGTACAGCCCTTTTGGCTTTTAGAAACCAAGTCAGAGCCCAGCTTCAGTATTCACATTAAAGAGCTGGGATGTGCAGCTGCATCGTGGCTGGGCCTGCAGTCTGGGGGTCGCTCAGTGGTGGCACTGGGGCTGTCACAGCTCTGAGACCAGCAGTGCAGAGTTCTGTCACTCACCCACAGAGGGAAAAGCTCCAGGGTTTCAATCTGGGGTCTGTAACACAACCCAGGCATGCTCAGTGAAGCAGAGGGACAGGGAATGTGTCCATATTCCATCTTCCCATCAGCCCGTTGCTCCAGTGGGATGTAAATACAATTACAGACTTGGGATGTTTACACTTTATTTAGAAGCATGCTTAAAATCATGTTCACAACAGTCTTTGAAGGGGCTCCTTGTGATGCTGCTCAAGTATTTAGTTACCAAGTGTCCCTGCTATCAGCCTGACAAGCTGTGCCAGTCCTGGATCCGGCTCAGCAAGGCTTTGTCCCAGGCTTAGCCAGGCCACTCCGCTGGGGAATGAGCCCTCCTGAAGCCCCTCTGTGTCAGATGTGTGTGCTGATGTTGCCAGTTTTCAATCAGCTTTCCCTGTGATCAGTCCCAATTGGCCTCTTTTGCCTCTGCAGTGTTGTCTCAGGGTGGAATTTGGGGCGGCTGTGCCATTCCTGTGTGTCTGTGTTGCAGGGACGTTCCGAGCGTGGACATCGTGGTGTGGTCGGAGCTGCCCACGGGAGCAGGGCTGGGCTCCAGTGCTGCCTATGCCGTGTGCTTGGCTGCTGCCCTGCTCATGGTGTGTGGGGCCATCTCCTGCCCGCTGCAGGAGGGAGAATCCACAGCCAGGTAAGGAGCTGGGGAAGCCTCCCTGCCTGGGATCCACAGCTCTGCTCCCTGTGCCCCGTCTTTCCTTTTACCTCCAGGAATTCTGGCACTGCCACCTCTCCTGCTCTCTCTTGGCTGTGGCCACAGCAGTGGCACCCTGAGCCCATTTCCTGTCTCTCCCCAGTGTTCCCAACCCTGTCCCAGAGCCCTGACCTGAAATCACATTTATCATTCACTTCTGATAAAAGCAGCTGAGATGTCATAAAACTCACCCCATTTCCCTTGTCTGGTGTCACATACACATACTTAAAGAGAGAAAAAAACAACCCTTGATTTTTTTTCCAAGCAAATAAAACACACGCTTTAATGTGCTGAATTTTTTTAACCTCGATTTCCTCTGTTGTCTCTGAGCATCTTCCAGATTTTACTTTGAGTTCTCCAGGATCATTTCTGGGTTTTCTGTATTTCCCATGGATTTTTTTTTTTTCTGCGTGTGCTACATTTCCTCCTGACCTCCTGCCTGTCTTTCCCCTTTATCAGTGGCTGGAGAAAGAGAGTTTCTTTCCTTCTACCCTTGGAGCTCAGCCCTGGAGGCCTGGTGTGCTGTGCCCTGTGTGAGAGGAGGCTCTGTTTGAAGCAGCTTGCCACAGCTCGGGGGGGCAGAACTTCCTTCTGCTCCCTGTGCCAGGTGCAGCCTTTTCTGGCTGTACTTGCCGTGGGATAAGAGTGAGACAGCAAGGGGGGGGTGACTGTGTCCTCCTTTTAAACCAGAATTTTCAGCTTGACCCAGAAACAGGTTCTTGGAGGGAGCAGTTTGTCCCCCGTGCTCGGGCAAATCTCCCACACTGAGAACTGAAAGGGCAGCTCCACTCGGAGCAGCCAGGATGTCTTCATTCATTCCCTTGGCTGCAGCGTGGATCCAGCATAATTCCTTCCTTGCAGCTGGCGTGCAGAGGGGAGAGTGAGAGATGGGGGTGTCAGACTTCAGAGGGTTTTTGCTTAACGTGGCAAGAAAAGAACAGCGTGATATAATGGCTCCCGTGTCGGCAGGAATCGCAGCCTCTCAAAGAGGATTAAAAACAAGTGGTTTACAGCAAACCCCGCTCCTGTCTGGGAGTCGTGGTGCTGGGAGCTGTTCTCTGAGTGCTCCACAGATTAAATGCTGGCAAGTGGGATGCAAGGTGTGTGGAGATGGATAAAGACATTCTGCTGAGGCCCGGGGAAGCGGGGAGTGAAGGGAAACAGCTTCCACACAGCGGGTGGCTCTTGGAACTTCTGCCTTGCCTTGCAAGACTCTGTGAGGCTTTTCCAAAATGTGTGTTTGTGCCTGTGCTCCAGCATGTTTTATTCTAAAGACCTGTTGAATGGACTGTAGAGCAGGCTTGTGGTGTGCAAGGAGGGTCAGAGGTGTGTCTCTGTGCTCAAAATGAGAGTAGGTTTAGATTGGATATTGGGAAGAAATTCTTCCCTGTGAGGATGGTGAGGCCCAGAGAAGCTGTGGCTGCCTGATCCTTGGAAGTGTCCAAGGCCATGTTGGATGGGGCTTGGAGCAACCTGGTCTAGTGGAAGGTGTCCCTGCCTGTGGCTGGGAGTGGAATGAGATGAGCTTTCAGGTCCCTCCCAGCCCAAACCATTCCATGATTTGGGTGAGGTAAATGTGTCCCTGCAGGATGCAGGAGGCTCCTGTGGGTGTTGAGCTTCCCTTGGGGTGCCAGAATCCTTCACTGTGGAGGGAACAAGTGGGTTTGAGAGACTGGTGAGTTCTGAAGGGGATGTGTGGGAAGCACTAGGGTTTTGGGAGGCAGTGGGGGAGAAATCTCTGAAGTCACAGCCAGCAATTGCTCTGTAAGTGGCAGCTCTGCCTTTGCTTTTTTTCTGCTTCTGCAGCCTGTTAATTAGTGTGTTCAGTGAGGGGCCTTGATCCTTGTGAGTCTGACCTAGCACCAAAGTCTGTGCCAGCATTTAAACTCCCAAAGCATTCACCAGCCTGTGTGACTGCTTTTCAGACAACAGAAAACCCGCTTTTGTGGTTTTTAGGATAACACCTTCTGGATGTGTGTCTGCTTCCCTTCTGTGCTCCCTGGGCCAGCACTTGGCACAGCTTCAAGTGTTCAGAGTTAATCCCTGAAAATGAAAGTCTTTGCTGGAGATGGTGGAGTTAGAACTGATATACTTTTTGACCCATTTTGGGAGGCTCTGCAGCTGAGCAGCTGGTGAGCAGGGGCTGAAGTTGCACGTCTGAAATGCAGCTTTTACCATTCTGTTCTCACCTTCTG